TGATGATGATGATGATGATGATGCTGATGATGATGATGATGATGATGATGTGATGATGTGATGATGTGATGATGATGATGATGATGATGATGATGATGATGATGTTGATGATGATGATGATGATGATGATGATGATGATGATGATGATGATGATGATGAGGAGGAGGAGGAGGAGGAGGAGGAGGAGGAGGAGGAGGAGGACCTTTCCCACTCCTGGGGCCCGGAGGAGGATGCGGCGGCTTGTCCCAGTCACCTCGGTTGAACCCGGCGGGGCTAGGACAGGGACACGTCGTCCGAAGCGTTCCATCACGCTTTCAGATCTGTCTGGAACGCTCCGAGAAGGCCGCGGCGCCCGATGCGTCCTCCAGAACCGCGGGATCTCAGAGGTCCCCGACTTGTCCCTGTCCGACTTTTGGCCGCTGTCTTGGCCTCGTCTGGTCCCAGCGAGCGCGAGCGCCAGTACCCCAGCAGCGTGCGCCCCCGCGCGCTCGCGACCCGGCCCGCTGCTCGCGGCTCAAGCCAGCCTGGCCCCAGGCTGGCGGCCAGGCGCAGAGGCCTGCGCTGGGGTGCCCATGCCAGCCGCTGTCGCGCCATCCCGGGGAGCACGACGAGAGGCGCGGCCCCGCGGCCACGGCCAGCCCCCGCAGGCCTCCAAGAAGCGGCGCGTTGCCACGAGCGGCGAGCCGCTCCCGATCCGCGCCCTCGCGGTCTGGAGTCCAGGGCGAGATCCCGCGGATGCGCGGTCGCACCAATGCGTGCCGCGCGGAGCCTGCGCGGGAACACGCTCCGTCTCCGCAGGGTGTCGGCCCTGGGGCACGGCCCGCGAGGCCGCAGATACGGATCTGTTCTTCGTTCTTCGCCCACGACGGATGCCCCAGGCATCGCCGCCTCTGGTAGCGCCTCCCCTTAGCGCGGAGTGCCCCTGGGCTGGGATGTTCTCGAGGGGGCCTCGGACCGTTCTGGCGCCAGTTTCGGGCGGCCAGCCGTGATGGCCAGTTTGCTACCCCTGTGCCTGGGCGGGGGGAGGGGGCGGGAGAGGGCTGCGCGAGGGGGAGGGGGGGAAAGGAAGGGGGGGAGGGGCGGTGTCGGAACATTTTCCTGCTCCCCGCCGTCCGACACACCGTTCGGGATGCCCGTTGACGCGGAAGCGGCGGCGGCCGCCCCAGTGCCAGCACCAGTGCGCGGCATCGACGAGTGCGACGACGAGATCGAGAACGGAACCTTCCACGAGCGCCTGGCGGACGCCGTCGCGCTGCAAGCCTGGGGAAAGTCGTGGGGGCGCCGGGGGGCGGTCGCGGGCGAGGGGCTGGCCCTGCCCGGCCCGATCCCCGCCCCTGCCTGACTGACTGCCGGCTCCTCCCGCTCCCCGCAGCCCCTGGCTGGACCCCCCCCAGAACGGCTCCTTGCCCCGGCCCCGCCCCCCGCTCGGCCGCAGTCCCGTCCTCCGCCCTGTCTGCCGCCCGTACATTTTGGCCAGCCGAGGAGACGTACCGCGAGCACTCGCCCTCGCGTCGACGGAGGGAGCTTGCGCAGAGAAGCCAACCACTGGTGCCCGGCGACGCAGTCGCGGGTTCCCCTTGCTTCCCTTACAGCTACTGCTCATCTTCCTCTTCAGTATTCGGCAAGCTTCCTAAGCGAACTAAGGTTAGAGGGCTGGTGGAATTTCGATGTTCTCGGGCTCGCCCGATGTGTTGACCAGCTGCCGCTAATTATTCTCGTCGAGCGTTGGTTATGGTAAGGTAGAGGTCGGAAGCCTTTCATCATGGATGTTTTGAAATTGCTTGCGATCGCAGCCTTCAACCTCAACCTCACCATCGTATGTTCCAGTATCTGTGCACGGAACAGTACCTATCCCTCCCCATCTCTCACCGACTATTTCTCCTTCATTATATTATTTTTATTCGCCGCGTCCTCATCCTCTTTCTCTCCCTCCTTCCTTCTCATTTGTGCTTCGTTCGGTCCTCGGTCCGCTCCCTGGCCACCTGGTCCATGGTTTTTGTCGCTTCGGTCATTGATTGTCCGCTCCCTGGTTCCAGGTCCCCACTTCCCAGTCCGCAGTCGTTGGTGGTGCCTTGGTCCTCAGCGCGCTCTTGGGCCTCCCTTGGGCCGTGTTTGGCCCTCTTGGGACGCCGGGGACCGAGCCATGCCAGCTGCAAGTTTCTATATATACAATATAAGGTATTATATAACACATTATTTGATATATGTATATTTATATATATAGGGGTGTGCATGCATGCATGTCTATATATATATATATATATATGCATGCATGCATGCATGCATGCATGCATGCATGCATGTATCCATTCATGCATGCATGCATGCATGTATGTATGTATGTATGTATGTATGTATGTATTTGTACATGCATGCATACCTGCATGCGTGCATACATGCATGTAGGCTTGTGTATATGCATGGATGTATGCATATATGTCTGTCTGTCTGTCCGTCTGTCTGTCTGTATGAATGTATGCATGTATGCATGAATATATATGATTGTATGCCTGGACGTATGTACGTATGGACGTTTGTCTGTCTGTCTGTCTGTATGTATGTGTGTATGCATGTATATATACATGTATGTGTATACGTGTATGCATGCATTCATGTATGTATGTACGTACGTATGTGTGTGTATGTATTTCTGTGCATGTCTGTATGTCTTGATGCCCATATGTCTGTATGTCTGTATGTATGCATGCATGTTTGTATGTATGCATGTATTTCTGTATACATGAATGTGTGTATGTGTGTGTGTGTACCTCTGTATGTACGACTGTAAGTATACATACGTATTTATGTATGTATTCATGCATGCATGTATGCATGCATGCATGTATGTACGTATGCAGGTATGTATGCATGCATACATGTATGTATGTGTGTACTAATGTATGTACGTATACATGTATACGTATGTATGTATGCATGCATGTGTGTGTGTGTGTATGTACGTATGTGTGTACCTTTGCATGTACATGTGTATGTTAGTATGCATGCTTGTATGCATTTATGTACGTTGTATGTATATGTTCTGTTTGTATATATGTATGTATGTATACATGCATGCATGCACCGTATGCATGCGTGTACGTATGTAGGTGTGTACCTAGGTATGTATGTCTGTTTATATAGATATACATGTATTTATGTGTGCACCTGGATACTTATGTATTATGTATGTGTGTATGTATGTATGTGTGTATCTATATATGTATGTACGTATGTAGACGTACATGTATATGTGCGTGTATGCATGCATGCAGTTTTGTACATATGTATGTTTTCTTTTATTCATGCATGTATGTATGTCTGTATATGTGTACATATGAGTGTATATATATATATATATATGTGTGTGTATTGTTTGTATGTGTGTGTGTCTGTATCTTCTTTAGGTATATATGTATGCATGCATATGTATACGTACATGCATATGTATACGTACATGCATATGTATTTGCACATGTTTACTGATGTGAACATGATGTCTATGTATATGTATGCGTATATGTATATGTATAGGCATATGTGTCTGTATGTGTATATGTTTTGCATATGTATAGGTACACGTACATTCACATGCACACACATATATATGATTCTACTCAGCTGCCAGGGGTCTGGGGCCCTGGTCGGCGAACCTTCCCGGATTCCCCCCCGGTAACCCACTTTGTCCCCGGGCGTCTGGGAGTTTTGTTCCGGCCTTGAGGGGACCATGTCCGCGTGTAGAGGTTTCCTAAATGGTTCAGGGAGTGGCTCACTCCTCCCACGAGGCCCCAGGGCTTCCCCAGGAGGCTTCAGAGCTCTGCAGAAACTCCTTGACCGTCCCAAGAAGACTGTCCCAAGAAGATCCCACATAGTTTTCAGTTGGCCCTCCAGAGGCTTGCGAAGACGCCCCCGAGGGCCCCAAATCAGAAAAACCAGGGTGTTTTCCGATGTTTTTTGCTTTCTCGCTTTTCCGCTTCCGATCGAATTTTCAAGCCTCAAGACTGCTCCAGGATCGCCCCATCAGAGTCCCAACGCGGGCCCAAGACGGCCCAAGAGTCAGCCGAGACGGCTTCAGGACGGCTCAAGATGCTCCACGGGTGTGTGTGTGTGTGTGTGTGTGTGCTGAGTGAGGGGTGTGCTGACACGGGGGGTGGAACTGCATGCGAAGTTTCCCACTGGGGCCTTCGGTGGGGCTCCCTATGAGGCCACGAACCGTGTGAGGGGTGTGCCGAAATGGGGGGGTGGAACTGCATGCGAACTATCCCACTGGGCCTTCGGTGGAGCTCCCTATGATGCCACGTACCGTGTGAGGAGTTTGCCGACACGGGGGGTGGATTTGCATGCAAACTTTTCCACTGGGGCCTTGGGTGGAGCTCCCTAAGAAGCCACGAAGCGTGTGAGGAATGCGCCGAAATGGGGGGGGAGGTCGGAGCTGCTTGCAGATTTTCCCACTGGAGCCTGCGGCGGGGCTCCCTACGGGGCCACGAGCCGTGTAAGGGGTGCGACGAAATGGGGGGGGGGCATGCGAACTTTCCCAACAGTGCCTTCGGTGGAGCTGCCTATGGGGCCACGAAAGGTGGGAGGGGTGTGCCATGATGGTAGTGATGGTGATGCTGATGATGATGATGCTGATGATGATGCTGGTGATGATGCTGATGGTGATGATGAGGATGCTGATACTGATACTGATGCGGTTGATGATGATGATGATGATGATGATGATGATGATGATGATGATGATGGCGGTGGCGGTGGTGACGATGATGATGGTGATGCGGATGCTGCTGCTGATGAGGCTGATGCTGATGACGACGATGATGATGATGATGCTGGTGATAACGATGCTGATAATGCTGCATATGATGATGATGATGCTGCTGATGATGATTCTGAGGCTTATGATGATGGTGATGAAGACGAGGGTGACGACGACGACCAAGACGACGACGACGATGACGATGGTGATGCTGATGCTGATGCTGACGCCGCCGATGCTGATGATG